CCACCAGAGGTGTTGTGTGCAGTTAGGTCTCGTTGACACAGGTTCTCGCCTTGCTTAGTCTTGAGTTCTCTGCTTGCTTTGTTTGTACGCTTTATATATACCTCTGTGAACTCTTGAACTGGCCTTGTGGCTCTTTTGCTTGTGCTCGGAGTGTGTGGTGACGTTGTGATCCACCCTGAGCTTTGTTTTTTTGTGACTGGTCTTGTGACCGTACACTTTTGGTTTTGCTTGACACCCCTCACTTAGACTACGGGGGTGTGTCAAATGTTGTAGTCTTAGTGATGTGTGTTATAGGGGGTACAACTATTAGGGTTAGGTTTGTGTACCCCAACCAACCTTAGTCAAACAAACACTTTCATTCTTGACATTTAACTAGCGCTAGGCTCAATATCCTACATAGACTGCTGCATTCACAACATAGCAGTCATCATTGCGGTCACCAAGTGCTTCTAGTGCCACCCCACTTGAGCAGATGAGGTCACCATCAACCACTTCAACGCCAATAATCTCACCACTGCCAGCACACATGACAATGATTAGTGTTTGAGCATACGAGGACATGTGTTTAGAGTAGAAGTGAGAGAGGTGGAGGAGAGGGATGAAATGAGGGAGAGAGTGAGCTGAGTGGCTAGGAGAGGAGGGGGAGGAGGGGATAGGGGAGAAGAAGGGGGGGAAATAAGGGAGGGTGGAGAAAAGGGGGAAGGGTGGGGGGTTGGAGGGGGTGGCGGGAAGGGGGGAAACGGGGGGGAGAGGGGGGGAGAGGGGGGGCGAGGGGGAGTGGGAGGAAGGGGAGGACGGGGAGGGCGGGGAGGGCGGGGAGGACGGGGAAGAGGAGGAGGAGGAGGAGGAGGAGGAGGAGGAGGAGGAGGAGGAGGAGGAGGAGGAGGAGGAAGAGGAGGCTGAGGCTACTCACTAGGGAAACACAGCCTTGACTTGGTCAATATCAAGGTCAGCTTGAAGCTCCCTAGGCACGCCCAGCCACACCTGAAGCTTCATCTGCTGCCATGACACACCTGGGATGGCACCTGGCCGAGGGACGGAGAGCAATAAGGCATGGAAACGCACACTTGAAAAAGGGGGAGGGGAAAAAGGGGGTTGGGGGAGTGGTGAAAGAGGGGAGACTGAGGAACGAAGGAAAGTTTCAGGGTTAGGACTTGATTGCGGCATGCTGGTCACGCCCCTTAACTGTGCGAAATCGAGATCAAGCCCTTTACCTGTGCGGAAGGCGGGGATGGAGTTGGACGTGATGGCGTTTCGACACGCCTTTATTGCCGCCTTGGTCACATTCTGCCTGCCACGTGGCAAGCCAGGATTGGAGGGATAAACAATGGGTGAAGGACGGAGAAGTGCTGATCAGAGAGCTGTCAGGACATTGACTTGTAAGCCGGTTTTGAGATTTCTCAAAACCAGCCTAGGATAAAGAACACCACTTCATTGGACTCAATATTGATTGATCGTTTGTTCTGTAAAGCTCGGTAGAAAGTGCATTCTTATCTACTAACGCGCATATACGCTACTGAATACGACAAACGCACCCGTGCTGGTCGTATCCCACACCCATCTCCACGAAGAGCACCTTCATGCGACTCCCCTCACTCGTCGCCTGCGACACCCCTACGACGTCGCTCGCCTCTGCCATGGCGAAAAATCGCCGACGCGGGCGCAGAGACTAGCAAATTCCGAGACGCACTAAATGAACAGTGACCACAGCGTGAATTTACGGCGAATCTATGGCTGGTGGCTGAAGGAGAGAGCGGAATGCGATGGGATGCAGCTAATAGAGGCATTGCCTAATCACCTGAGCAGCTAATCGCTGAAATGACTGATCGCCTATTAATCGCTCGGTCGCGTGACTCAGCTGCTGCGGAGAATATGCACCCCGGCCTGCGAGATTCAGCGCGCTTCTGCTAAGGAATCCCTAAATTCTTGAGCTTGCCGCCTACACCTAGTCCGCGGTATTTTAAAGCTGTCGCCTACATACTTCCTGCGGGAGGACCAGGTTTATCACTTGAAAACCTGGTAGCACTGAGCTTCGCTCCAAGCTTGAGAGGCGAGGTGCAGTTACTGCTCTCTGACAACCCAATCCCCCCTCTGAAAAGTGGCCAGCTCAGGATTGGCTTACAATTTTCGCGCCAATCTCCTCCCCAACTTCGATTGGTTGAGGGTTGTGGCGAAATCGCGAACACAACCCCAACCTCACGAAATAAGTACCCCCCAACCGAACCATGCACGAAACTGGCGGGATTCGCCAGTTGTGTTTGAAACCTTCGCGCCCTCTTTTCTGGAAAAGGATTATTTCGTGAGCAAATCAGACTGCGTCCTAGGGTGTGCACCCGAAATACCCCCTGAAAATACCATTTCGAATGTAGACCGCAGCTTTAACTACGTGAACTGTTTTGCTTCAAACACCCTTTGTTCATTTTCGGGTAATGAGATGGGCACCCAGAGACTTCAAGGCTATTGTTTCGCAGCCAGAAGCATTTCCTACTAAAGAAACTCACACTTAGGGCTCCGAAATAGAGGGAGGATCGGCATTGACCAGGTTTTTACTGCCGTCGCCTCACAAAGGGTATGCTATATTCTACCCTCAATAAAGTTCAAAAATACTCGTATAAAAAAGTTTGACCAAGGAGAAGTACCCTCGCGCGGTTAAGATAGCGGCGGTTAAAATACCGCGGACTAGGTGTACTTCCACCACATGTCGAAAGGTGGCTTGTACTCAATAAAGAGGGAAAGTCTGTTACACATATAATGCGCGTTTACAGTCATACTCGTATTTTGTATACGTGACTTTATTCACATTTGGCCACCTCGTCGCATCTCACATTCGTGTTTCCTCTGCACCTCTGCTGCGCCTTTCACACAGCTCCTCACTTTTTACCTTCTCAAATCCTCGCGCGCTCCAGTATCACGTGCCAATCGCCACTTTCGCGTATCCCGACAGTTCTCGTGATCGCTTCTCCTCCGTTCCGCCATCGCTGCTTCCTTATCTTCTCGGCTCGCCTTGTCTCCTAGCCGTTTCTCCCATTTGTCGCGTTCACTTTCGCTCCGTCCTTTCCCGCCATGATATCCGACAGGATATCAAAGGTTCTACTTATAGCGTGCGGCGTCGGCACAATAGCGGGTACGTTACTAGCTGGATCGTGAACCAGCGCGCGAACACGTCCCAGTCTCGTTGTCACTGTTCTCCCGCGCCTCTGAACTTTTCTTCCATCCATTCCGTGTTTCTCAGGTGCTCCACCTGTCCATTCCTCGGCCACTCTCCGCATTCCCGCGTTCTCCCGTGCGCTCTTCGTTCCCCCCGTCGCCCCCAATCATCCCTGCTTCCGTCTTCCCCCTTGCTTCTCCGATTCTCTCATCGTTTCAGCCGCTATTCCCTTCCACGTTCCTCCCTACCTCCCCACTTCCTCCCCCACGCCAATTTCCCCTCTTCTCCTCTCCCTTCATCCCCATCCCTCCCCCTCCCTCTCCGCATCACCGTTTCCGCTGCAGCTACTTCTCTTTTCACCATTCGTTAGTCTCTCCCGTCCCCACCCTCCTCCCTTCCTTTTCCTTCCCCTACCTTCCCTTACCTTCCTTTTCTCTTCCCCTCCTTTCCCCTCCCCCTCCGCGAACCAGGCCTGTTGCTGACATCAGCAGATCGCAAGGCCCAATCACGAGCGCAGGGACCTGTGTCGGTGGAAGAGAAGCTGAAGCAACTCGATAAGAGCATGTCTCGATAGCAGCACATTGAGGTGGTGGGGTGTGGAGCTATGCTTTGGTGGTGGCCTTGGCTGGGGTGGGCTTGTTTTATTCTGCTGGGAGGAGAATAAATGCTCTAGATATCTGGGAGGTAAATAGGAGGTATTATATTTTTCTAGTACCCCCTCCCCAATCTTTGCATTGCAGTGAGGAGAAAGCCACACATACCGTAGCATCATATTGTATGGTACACTGGTGGTGCGATGGAGTAGCTTGGCTCCAGCTCCAATCATGTTGGGTTTGTGCGTGATCCAGTAATATATTTTCCAAATTTTGAACACTTGCAATGCATATACTGTACAATACTTCAGGTACTGAGGATTGAAGTTGGTAGGATCTCGAGAGATGTTGCAACTCTAAGGCTTACTCTTGAAATGATGTGGTAGTGTTTTAGAAAGCTTCCTTCTTACGCTGTTTCGATTACCCCCTCGTCCCCGCCACCCAACCACTTCACTTTCCCCCCAGCGTTCAGCGCAAGTACACCAAACCAAACCCACCCTCTTCATTCCCTCTCCGCCTCTCACGAACGAACTACCTTTTTCGTGGCTCTACATCCACGGCGGAGCTGCGCGCATTGCCGTCTGGTAACTTGATCGGACGGTCCAGTTTTCCCGGCAATGGCGGGTGGTTTGGCAGCGCTCGCGGAGGTATCGCCGGCGAAAGAGAAGATCGTATTGGACGAGGCGGATTGGAACGCGATTCTTGACGCGATGCGGCCGTACGAGAACCGTACGCCCAATGACACGACACTCCGTACGCCGAACCGTACGCCGAATGGTACGGCGGCGGAGAAGAAACGGAACGGCACGACCAGCGTCGTCCGGAAAGCAGCAAACGCCGTCAAGAAGACACTCGGTTCGATCACTGTAACGAAGACGAGGCTTATAACGAAAAAGAGCACTCTTGCGAGGACATCCGAGGCGGAAGGGGGGCCATCGCCTCCCGCCAAGCGTAGAAAGCTCGATAACGCGGACAAGGATAAGACTGGCAAGGGGGGCGGAGAGGAGGGAGAAGCAGGTGCGAAAAGTAGCAAGGAGGGGGAGAAGCAGAGCGTATGGTGGTCGTTTAAACTTCCGGAAGTGAGTCTCAAAGACCCTAGTAAGCCGCTAATGAGTGAGCTAGTAACGCGGAAGATCGGCGGAGATTTAAGGGTCAAGGACGGGGGTTTAGCGGGGAAGAACGTGAACGGTAAGGGCAAAGGCGCAGCTAATGCACCATCAGCAGCGGTGACGGCAGCGGCAGCAGCGGCGGCGGCAGCGATGTCACAGAAGCGGAAACTACCGTCGTGGGCGGAGGGGAAAGGGCCGGGGGCAGCGGTGGTGAAGGGCGCGGATCAGATGGTGGCGGCCCCCGGCCACACTCGCGACTTTTCTTTCCGCCGCGACGTGCAAGGTGCGTGAATTGGGTATGATGATGGTTGGTGCAAGGAGGGGTGGGGGGGGGAAGGGGGAATGCGAGGCCGGGGGAAGCGGTAGTGAAGGGCGCGGATCAGGTGGTGGCGGCCCCGGGCCACGCGCGCGACTTCTCCTTCCGCCTCGACGTGCCAGGTGCGCCGGGTTTGGTCGGGATTCGCGAAATTTGTACCCTCTCGTGTTTCCTCTCTTGCGCCCCCACCCTTACCCCTCTTCCCCAACCCTCCCTGCAGCAACGTCACTCTTCCGTTCCATTCCAGTGCTCGCACAAGACAGACATCTATGCGCGCTTCCCCGGGAAGGTGGTGTACCGAGAGTGTTCCTCTTTCTTTCCTCCTTCCACCCTTCCTGCCCCCCTTATCCCCCACTTGCAGCTACATCACTCTTCCGTGCCATACCAGTGCTCGCGCAAGACATCTACGCGCGCTTCCCCGGGAAGGTGGTGTACCGCCGTGAGCGCAACGGCGTGGAGGCAGCAGCAAAGGAGCTTTACGCGGCTGTGAAGAACGGTAGGGTATGGGTTAGGGTGGCGGGTTCAGGATGTAGGGATTCAGGTGTCAGGTTCAGGTTGTGGAGCTGTAGGTGTGGTGCATCGCTGTGTCAGGTTTCAGGGTGTTGTTTTTTGAGAATTCTCAAAAAACACTGACTGTAGGTGGTGGTGTACCGCCGCGAGCGCAACGGCGTGGAGGCAGCAGCGAGGGAGCCCTGTGCAGCTGTTAAGAGCGGAGGGCAGGGTTGCTAGGGTTTAAATGATTGTGTTTAGAATGGCAGGATTAGTAGGGCCTAGGACGTTGGGTTCCGGAGTAGGACTGGACTGTGGGTGTGCTGCTGTGCCTGGAAGGAAGTGCGATGGTGGGGAGGCAGCAGCGAGGGGGCGCTACGCGGCTGTGAGAGACGATTTTTTAGGCGCCTAAAAAATGGGCTGGGCTCTACGCAGCTGTAAGAGCGGTAGGCAATGGAGACTTTTGAGTCGACTCAAAAGTCACCAGGCGCCTCAAAAATGGGCTATACGCAGCTGTAAGAGTGGTAGGCTGTGGAGCAAGACTGTGAGTGATTGATTGCAACGCTGATTCTCACTCACCTGCTTTTGTGTCCCTCTGCCCCTCCCTCTCCTCTCCTCTTTCAGGCGCCAACGGCAGCAGCGGCAAAGTGGCGGTGGGGTTGGACTGCGAGTGGAAGCCCACTTGGGGGAAAGGTGAGGTGGTGGGGTGGGGTGTGGTGGGGCAGGGTGAGGGCAGGCAGCGGATGAGGGGCCTGGGGCAAGGGTGCCCCTCCCTCAATGCTTGCTCAGGGTGCCAACGGCAGCGGCAGAGTAGCGGTGGGGTTGGATTGCGAGTGGAAACCCACGTGGGGGAAAGGTGAGCGTGGTAAGGTGTGGTGGGCTGGGGTAGGCGAGGTGAGGGCAGGGGATGAGGGGCCTAGGGCAAGGTTGCTGCTCCCTCAATGCTCAGAGGGCCCACGGGCACAGCAGAGTGGCGGTGGGACTGGACTGCGAGTGGAAGCCCACTTGGGGGAAAGGTGAGATGGTGGGGTGGGGCAGGATGAGGGCAGGCAGCGGATGAGGGGCCTGGGGCAAGGGTGCCCCTCCCTCAATGCTTGCTCAGGGTGCCAACGGCAGCAGCCGCAGATTGGTGGTGGGGCTGGACTGCGAGTGGAAGCCCACGTGGGGGAAAGGTGAGCGTGGTGGGGTGAGACTTGGGGATTGAGGGTGGTGGAGTGAGGTGGGGGGGGTGATAATGTGTGTTCTACCCATTCTTTTGCCTCCCTGCTCCCCTTTTCTCTCTCGCCCCTCCCAACCTCCTCCGCGTCTCCCCATCCCTTCCACCACCAGGCCCGGAGAATCCCTGTGCGCTCTTATAGCTGTGGTCATCGCTGCACTGTCTTCTCTTATACCTACCCGCGTCCCCCTCACTGTTCTCCCTCTCAACCTCCCCCCCCCCCCCCACAACTACCACCAGGCCCGGAGAATCCCTGTGCGCTGCTGCAGCTGTGCGCCAATGCGGACCTCTGCTATCTCTTCCATCTCAATTTCACTGGCGTTCCCGAGACTCCCCTCTCTCTCCCCTCCCTCTCCTCCCCCTCGGCCCCCCTGCCCCCCCCACCAGGCCCGGAGAATCCCTGTGCACTGCTGCAACTCTGTGCCAACGCAGACGTCTGCTATCTCTTTCATCTTAAGTTCACCGGCGTTCCCGAGACTCTCCGCGCATTGCTCAAGGATGCTAGTGTGGTCAAGGTGAGTGTGTTGCACTGCCTTTTCGTATGCCTACGTGCATTCCCCCTTCCCCCTTCTCCGCGCATTGCTCAAGGATGCCAGTGTGGTCAAGGTGAGAGTGCATGTGTGCACATCTTGCACGAGTGCGTTTGTCTGCTTTCTCTTTCATCTCAAGTTCACTGGCGTTCCCGAGACTCTCCGCGCATTGCTCAAGGATGCCAGCGTGGTCAAGGTGAGTGGCTGTGTGCGTGAGGGAGCATACAAAGGGTATGAGTGCGTGAGTGTGTGCGAGTCTGCTACCTCTTTCATCTCAACTTCACTATGGCAAGAAAGAAAGCGGAAGCTTTGCACCCTTTTCTCACCGCACTCCTCTCCTCTCGTTTCTCTCCTTTGGTCTTTGCTCAAGCAGACAGGTGTAGGTGTGACAGAGGACGGCCGGAAGCTGAGGAAAGACTTTGGTGTTGAGGTGAGTAGAGGGGTGGACTTCGGTGTTGAGGTGTGTGTGTTTCTACATGCAGAGAAACGGGCAGGTGAATGGGAGGTGAACGGGAGGTGAGTGGGCAAACTGCCTTGGTGACCACTGTTTCTGGCCAGTCAGAAGGTTCTTGTGCCTCGACCTAGGCAGATGGTGGACTCAACACCCTTTGCTCACCCGTTCTTTGGTGTGTATCCATCCACATGTGTGTGCCTGTCTGCTGCATGTGTCTTCCGCATACACATGTACATGTGAACGGGCGGTGGACTGGACTGGACTGGACTGGACTGGACTGGACTGGACTGGACTGGACTGGACTGGACTGGCACAGGAGGAGACAGTGGGGCACAAGACTCTCATGCTCACTCACCTCTTGTGCGTGTGCACGTTTGTGTGTCTCTGCGTGCACATGAGCAGGTGAATGGGCTGGTGGACTGCTCACCACTCGCCCATCAGAAGGCTGTCGTGCCGGACGGAGGGCAGATGGTGGGGCTCAACCCACTTTGCTCACCCGCTCCTTGTGTATGTGCACGCATGTGTGCCTGTGTGTGTGTTTCTGGATATATCTGCACAGGTGAATGGGCTGGTGGACTGCTCCTCACCACTGGCCCAGGAGAAGGCTGTGGTGCCGGATGGAGGGCAGATGGTGGGCCTCAAGACACTCACCTGCCTCCTGTGCATGTGCACGCATGTGTGCCTGCGTGTGTGTTTCTGGATATATCTGCGCAGGTGAATGGGCTGGTTGATTGTTCCCCACTGGCACAGGAGAAGGCAGTGGTGCCGGATGGAGGGCAGATGGTGGGCCTCAAGACACTCACCCGCCTTGTGCTGCAAAAAGAGGTGAGCTTCATTTCATACAGCGGGTTTTATGCGTCCTCTGAGTGCCAGAACACACACTGCACGCTGTGGTGCCGGATGGAGGGGAGATGGTGGGCCTCAAGACACTCACCCGCCTCGTGCTGCAGAAGGAGGTGAGACTTGAAGGCGGCTTTTGATTTTTGAGTTGACTCAAAAATCTCCTCGGAGGTGAGAATCGATGGCGGATTTTTGGTTGGGAATGCGCTCGTGAGTTGACTCAGAAGGAGGTGGGGTTCAAGACACTCACCCGCCTCGTGCTGCAGAAGGAGGTGAGCTGTGCTTGCCGGGTGGCAAACCACCCGGGTGGCACATCTGATGAGCGATTTTCATGTGTTCTTCATTTCATCCCTTTCCCATGCCCACCCCAACCCAACCCCATTCTCACCTGCAGCTCGCGAAGCCAGAAAGAGTGAAGTGCAGCAACTGGGAGGGCTTTCCTCTGACAGAAGCGCAGCTCATCTACGCTTCAACATCCGCACTTCGTTCCTCCCTTTGTGTCCCACCCCCGTCCCAACCCCTTTCTCAACCCCAAACCCAGCTTGCCAAACCAAGAAACTGGGAGGGCTTTCCTCTCACAGACGCCCAGCTGATCTACACTCATCCGCATCTCATCCCTCCCTTGGCATTCCCCCACCCCCACTCCAAACCCATCTCAACCCTTCTGATGCAGCTGGCAAAGCCGAAACGGGTGCAGTGCAGCAACTGGGAGGGCTTTCCTCTCACAGACGCCCAGTTGATCTACGCTTCAACAGACGCGTTTGTGTCGCTGAGAATCTTCCAGGAACTTGACGCCATGCCGAGCCCGTGGCAGCAAGGGAATGGGCATGTATCGGCAGCAGTGGCGGAATCTGCGGTGGCTGTATCGGTGGCAGCTGCTGCAGCAGCAGCAGGAGCAGCAGCAGGAGCAGCAGCAGGAGGAGCAGCAGGAGGATTTAGAAGAGACGGAGTACCAGTAGCAGCAGTTGTGGGAACGGTGACAACAGCTGCATCAGTAGCAGTGAGACAATCAGGAGAGGTGGAGAACAAGGGGAAGGGCAATAAGAGGAAGGAGGAAAAGGAGGGGAAGGAAGGGAAGGAGGGCAAGAAGGGAAAGGAGGCAGAGGCAGATGCGGAAGCAAAGACGGGGAAGAAGAGCAAGAGGAAGCAGGAGGCAGGCGAGGAGGGCAAGTGGGCAGCCAGCAGATGCTGGTGAAAGCAAAGCAGCAGAGGCAGACGAGCCGAGAAAGAAGAGAAGAAAGCAAGGGAGCAAGGGGGAAGGCAAGGATGATGGTGGGAGCAGCGGCAGCAAGGTGGGGAGCTTGAAAGAGGCTGCTGCAGATACAGCGAGTAGGTGGATGGAGCTGATTAAAAAGGCCACCACACGGCAAAAGTAGCCACCAGCGGGGAGGACTTACCGGTATGAGGCGCATCTGAAGACGAGCAGGATGATGGCGGGAGCAGCAGCAGCAAGGTGGTGCACTTGAAAGGGGCTGCTGCAGATACAGCAAGCAGGTGGATGGAGCTAATTAAGAAGGCCACCACACGACAAAAGTAGCTACCAGCCGGGGGGACTTGAGAGGCGTGTCTTAAGGCAAGGATGGTGGGAGCAGAAGCAAGGTGGGGAGCTTGAAAGAGGCTGCTGCGGATACAGCAAGCAGATGGATGGAGCTGATAAAAAAGGTTACCACTCGGCAAAATTAGCCGCCAGCTGGGAGGACTTTTGAGGCGCGTCTAAAGGCGAGCAGGGGGAAGGTGGGAGCAGCAGCAAGGTGGATATGGTGTGGCATAAGGGTAGCGTCGATTTGATATGGTGTTCTTGATTGTTGGGTGCGTTGGGTGGTTATGGCGGTGGTTGGTTGCTGTAAGGGTAGCGCGAGGCCAGTGGGAGGTCTGGTGAAGGGTGCGGACCAGGTGGTACCCCTAGCCTCGCCTATGACGTGCAAGGTGCATCGATTAGGTATGGTGTTCTTGAGTGTTGGTGGTGCGTTATGTGGGTGGGCTATGTCGTTGGCAAGGTTAGAAAATACGGTCGCTTTTTATTTACGGTTAAATACGGTATATAGTATCAAACGATTATCGTCTGAAAGGGTAAAAAGTGGTGAATGTGGAGTTTTGGGGTTGGTAAAGAAATACAGTCGCTTTTTACGGTCGAAATTTTGAACCACAGAAAGTGTACATGGAATTATTGTAAACGTCAACCATCAAGTGTCAATCTTGATAGCGCTTGGATTTGTCGTCAGGCGACTCGATGTTTTCGCCGCCTCGTGCACTCCAAAGAGTTGCGAGGCACGACATGGTAAAACTTGGCGATCGGACAACGAATTTGTGTTCGTTTCGCACACTCGTTGAGCTTTTTCGCGCCATGCAAAGCGTATTCAGGGAACCACTTGTTTCCAAATTTCTTTGTTGCACGAACACAACCAGCCAGTCGTTGAAGCTCAACGATCTTCCTCTCACACACCTTTCTCAATAATCCTCCCGACAAAGCAGCACCAGCACAACCCGCGAGAAACTACTATGTGAGCTAGCTGAAATCATTTCTTCAAACTCTACCTACCCATTCCCCTCGGCCCTAGCTAGCGGAGTAGTAGGCGAAGATATATCTCAGACAATTTTACGCCTGATAGTTAGTAGTTTCGTTTATGTTCACACCTTTAGAGGTGGTTGGAAGCAAGTCTGAAGTTTTATTATTTTGTGGCAGCTAAAAATCTGTAACGTAAAATCGGTCGTATTTTTGGAAAAGTGACCGTACAATACGACCGTAAATTGAACCTTGGTCGTTAGTTGCTGCAAGGAGGCGAAGGGGCCGGTGGCAGCGGTGGTGAAGAGCGCGGACCAAGTAATGGCGACTCAGAGCCACGCTCGCGACTTCTCCTTCCGCCGCGACGTGCAAGGTGCGTCGCCGGGTGTGGTCGTCGTTCTTGAAATCTGTATTATCGCCTGTTCCTCTCTTGTCCCCCCAACTCTTCCCACCCTCCCCACCTCGCCCCCACCTATCCCTGCAGCAACATCGCTGTTCTATTCCATCCCATTGCTCGCGCAAGACATCTACGCGCGCTTCCCCGGGAAGGTGGTTTATCGTCGCGAGCACAACGGCGTGGAGGCAGCAGCAACGGAGCTCTACGCGGCTGTGAAGAACGGTAGGTGTGAGAGCTAGATATTGACTAGGACTTCCAGGACTTGGGTTGTATCGCCGCGAGCGCAACGGGGTGGGGGCAGCCGCGAAAGAGCTCTACGCGGCTGTCAAAGCGGTAGGGCTTGGGGCTAATAAGTAGCTGTTTCTGGTTTCGAGGGGCCATGGAACTTCATATTTCCTGGTATAGGAAGTTGTATGTTCGATGTGAAGGTGGTGTACCGCCGGAGTGCAGGGTAGCATAGGGACCGCTGGGCAATGGTGGAGGAGGGAAGGCGGGAATTCGAGTGGCAATGGATTGGCCGGGCTAAGAGTGGCTTCACCGTTCACTCAAGCCGATCTCTCCCTGCGTGGTCTCTGTATCACCCCTTTGCCCCTTCCTCTCATGCACCAGGCGCCAACGGCAGTGGCAAAATGGCGGCGGGGCTGGACTGCGAGTTGACTCAATTCGCTTCCTCCTTTCACACCCCTCTGCTCCTCCCTCTCCTCTCCTCCCCTCTCCTCTCCTCTCCTCTCCTCTCCTCTCCTCTCCTCTCCTCTTTCAGGCGCCAACGGCAGTGGCAGAGCGGCGGTGGGGCTGGACTGCGAGTGGAAACCCAAGTGGGGGAAAGGTGGTGAGTGCTTTGGGGTGAGACTGGGGGGGTTGAGGGTGGTGAGGGTGGTAGGAGGGGGCTAGGGAAAGGGTACTCCTCCCTACCCTCTTCCATCTCAGGTTCACGGGTGTTCCCGAGACTCCCCTCTCTCTTGCCCCCCTCTCTCTCCCTTTAATCCCTCTCCCTACGCTCTCTCCCATCCCCCACTACCCCCCCCACTTTCTCACTCCCTCCCCCACGCCCCCACCAGGCCCTGAGAATCCCTGTGCGTTCTTACAGCTCTGTGCCAACCCGGACGTATGCTATCCCTTGCAACTGCTACCTCCTCTCCCTCTCATGCCCCACTGTCTCCCCACCACTCTCGCCCCTCCGCCGCCCCTCCCTCTAGGTCCCGAGAATCCCTGTGCGCTCTTACAGCTCTGTGCCAACGCGGACGTTTGCTATCTCTTTCATCTCAAGTTTTCTGGCGTTCCCAAGACTCTTAGGGCATTGCTTAAGGATGCTAGCGTGATCAAGGTGTGTGCATATGTGTGCGGGGGAGTGGGTGAGTGTGCATGCGTGATGCATACGCATGTGTGGAATTGGTGGTGCGGTGAGATAGCTAATTCTGCCTCTGCAAGTCCATAGCTGTTCTCAAGATCGCCATCGTCCCTGCCCTTGTTGTAAAGGACTCTCCTCTACTTTGCAGGAACTGGGAATTGTTCTAAACGATAGAGCTCTGTCTTAGCTTTCCAACGAGCCGTCACACACGTTGATCGCCTAAGTATCCGCCTAGATATAGGCGTTCACGTGTTGGGTAGTGCTCTTGAATGCAAGTATAGAAGCTCTCTGGAATTTGTGTTCGAATGTAACACGTACAAAGAACTCTGGTTTTTAGTATGATCATGCAATACAAAAGCAAACACTATGAACTGCAAAACGTCGAATCGCACATGTAACCTCGAACCGCGGTACACTCGAATGTTCGAGTAACATCGAAGGGGTGAAATTCGACTCTCGAATTTCACCGAATCGAATTCTCCCTGAGTCTCGATTCTTCTTGTGTTGCCATGTGGCACCAATCGAGTGGGTCTTCCGAAGTCAACCCACACACTTCGTGAAACCTGCAGCTCACTCAAGCGGTGAGCACCGAAACACATTTGGTGGGTTGGGGGCATATCAATTGCCCCACCACCGTTTGCTTCTAACTCACGCGACCTCCAACACTCCCCCTTGCACCCAACCCACTAGGTGTGCAATCCAACATGCTCGTAGCATGCACGGGACGGATCTTTAGGGGGTAGTTCCATGAGAGGATCCATGTGTTCATCATCACCCATGGTTGCGAAGCAAAATGTCGCCCCCTCCTTATCCAACTTCCCAACGGCTACCGTAGCATAGTCGGCGTACTTGGAGGGAGGACGAACCTCACGACGCTCGCAGGTCAAGGCCAATGGTAGGGAGGAAGGTGTGGAGGTAGTTGCCGCCTCGGTAGGTGACATCTCCACGACATCATCAACGCTCTCCTCGTTGTTCTCTCCCCCTCCATCGGCTTCCTTCTCCACTTGAGGTGGAGTCTCACTCTCTTCAACCTCCTCTCGTGGCGGAAGGATGAAAGTGAGTTGTTGAGTGGGTTTCTCCTTCGACGGGAACTTGTCTTCATCGAAAACCACGTCCCGAGACGTGACGACACGCTTTTCACCCAAGTCCCACACTCGCCATGCACGCTCGTTTGGCGCAACTCCCAAGAAGATCGTCGCACGAGCTTTCGGTTGCAACTTGTGGCGAAGAGGATCCGGTACATGGTAGTAGCAAATGCACCCAAAGGTGCGTAGGCGGGATAGGTTCGGCTTCGTTCCGGTCCATGCTTCGAACGGAGTCATTCCCGGTAGCACCTTTGTCGGCACACGATTACGAATCCATGCCGCTAGCGCACCCGCCTCTCCCCACCACTCGTTCCCAAGCTTGGAGTGTTGAAGTAGTGAACGAACGGCTTCCACCAACGTGCGATGAAGCCGCTCCGCCGCTCCATTTTGTTGGGGTGTGTAGGGTGTCGTGACGTCGTGCTTTATGCCCTTGCTCTTCATCCATTTCTCAAGCTCCGCGTTCACGAATTCGCCCCCACCGTCGGTGCGAATACACTTGATCCGCTTCTTGTCGTCGTCGCAAACTTCGAGCGCCCACTCTTGAATCGCCTTGGCCGCATCTCCCTTAGCCTTCAAGAGCCGGGTCCAACACATCCGCGTCGCGTCGTCGAGCATCACCAAGAGGAACCGCGCTCCTCCCTTTGATGCATGTCGCATCGGTCCACACACGTCCATGTGAACAAGCGCAAGCGGGTCCTTAGCGAGGGGTGACGTTCGGCTACCAAATGGCTTGCGAGCCATTTTTCCTACGACACACGCCGCGCACACGCCCTTCTCGTCGTCGCCGGCGATCACGTCAAGTCCCTTCGCAAGTCCTTTGTTGGCCAACTCCTTGACCGAGTCGTAATTGGCGTGCGCAAGCCGATTATGCCACGCCTTGAGAGTTGCCTTGGACCCTTGCGCCACGTTGGATGAAGCCGCTCTCGGGTGCGTCTTGAGTTGGTAGATTTCTCCGTTGAGAACGCCTTGTGCGAATTGCTTCCCCTTCCAAAAAAGGTTCATCGTCGCGCCATCGATGGTGACCTTCACGTCCTTCTTCGCGAGTTGAGTGACGGAGAGTAGATTCACCTTCAACCCCGGGACGTGAAGCACGTTCGTGATGTCCACCGGTCCGCCATCGACGATAAGACGCGTACTCCCAACTCCGACCACTGGTAGCGACTTGTTGTTTCCGAAGACGACGCGCGTGACGTCTCCCGGTGCACCAACGTTGGTGAGGAACGATGCCGAGTGCGTCATGTGTTGTGTTGCGCCGGTGTCGAGGAACCACGCGTCGCTTGGTGTGTTGTTCCCGTCACCGGCCAATAACACGATCGATTCCCTTGTATCATCCGCCTCGCCGGATGCCGTATGCGCGTTGCCCTCATGGTTCCACGCCTTCGATGGAGTCCAATCGCTCGGCCGCTTCCGACACTCACGCCAAAAGTGTCCCGCTTTGCCACAATAGTGGCACTTGCTCGCGCCGTTCGGTGCGCTTCCCTTGCCGCAATCGCTTCCTCCGGGCGACTTCTTCGTCGCGCCCTTGCTCCACGTGGACTTCTTTCCGGAACTCCCTCCGGAGAACATGGCGGCACCCTCGCTCTCATTAGCGAATTGTCGGCGACGCGATTCTTCATGGAGAAGCCGACCGACCACCATTTCCTTCGTCCAAGTGTCTTGCACGCTATCGAGTGTCGTAATCACCGTCGACCACTCTTCCGGAAGGCCGCATAGCAATGTCAAAATCCAATCCTCCTCCGTGACCGTTCCACCGAGGTCCATGAACGATTCCCCGAGTTCCTCCACACGAGTCGCATACTCGTGCATCGATTCGCCCACGCGCATCTTCACCGTGTAGAACGCATTCCGGGCTAGGATCTTGCCGTGGAGAGTCTTGTTCACGTGGATGGTCTCGAGCCGCTTCCACGCTTCATGCGCCGACACTTTGAGCTTGATGCACATGCGCACTGAGCTCACGAGATTGATGCCGATGCGCGAAATCAACGTAGCGAACACCTTTTGGTCCTTCTTCTTCCATGCCGCGATGTCGCTCTCGTCGTCCAGCTTCTTCTCCGTTCCATCGAAGAAACCCCAAAGTCCCCGCTCCATCATGAGCACTTGGAACTTAAACTTCCACGCGGAGTAATTTTGTCCCGTGAAAATCGGTACCGCCGACGTGTCGAACATCGTCGCGGTTGCCCAGGGTTCGCCGGTATTTACAACGACACCATCCAAAGAAGTGCGGGAGGCCTCGCTTGACGTCATCATGCTTGCTCCTTGTCGCGCGCGTAGACTCCTCCGACCAGCTCTGATACCACTGTTGTAAAGGACTCTCCTCTACTTTGCAGGAACTGGGAATTATTCTAAACGATAGAGCTCTGTCTTAGCTTTCCAACGAGCCGTCACACACGTTGATCGCCTAAGTATCCGCCTAGATATAGGCGTTCACGTGTTGGGTAGTGCTCTTGAATGCAAGTATAGAAGCTCTCTGGAATTTGTGTTCGAATGTAACACGTACAAAGAACTCTGGTTTTTAGTATGATCATGCAATACAAAAGCAAACACAGTTATATGAACTGCAAAACGTCGAATCGCACATGTAACCTCGAACCGCGGTACACTCGAATGTTCGAGTAACATCGAAGGGGTGAAATTCGACTCTCGAATTTCACCGAATCGAATTCTCCCTGAGTCTCGATTCTTCTTGTGTTGCCATGTGGCACCAATCGAGTGGGTCTTCCGAAGTCAACCCACACACTTCGTGAAACCTGCAGCTCACTCAAGCGGTGAGCACCGAAACACATTCGGTGGGTTGGGGGCATATCAATTGCCCCACCACCGTTTGCTTCTAACTCACGCGACCTCCAACAGCCCTCCCATCTTCCCTCTTCTCATCCTTCCTCTCGTCCCTCCACCTTTCGCTCTGCCCCTGCAGACTGGGGTCGGGGTGACAGTGGACGGCTGGAAGCTGAGTGAAGACTTCGGTGTTGAGGTGAGTAGAGGGTGGACTTCGGTGTTGAGGTATGTGCACATGTCTCTTGTCTGCTCACACAGACAGGTGTGGGGGTGACAGAGGACGGCTGGAAGCTGTGTTGAGGTGAGTAGAGGTGTGGAGAGGTTCCGCTTGTGTATGAAAGAGTCACGGGATGGGGAGGCTGTGGTGCCAGAGGGAGGGCAGATGGTTGGGCTGTGGTACACTTTGCTCACCCACCTCTTCTGTGTGTATCCATCCACATACGTGTGCCCCTGCCTGCTGAATGGGTGTTTCTAACTGCGCATAAGCAGTTGAATGGGCTGGTGGACTGCTCGCCACTGGCCCTGGAAAAGGCAGTGGTGCCGGGTGGAGGGCAGAAAGCGGGGCTTAAAACCCAGGGTCCACAGGTTTCAAAGGTAGGAAGGTTGGTTGGACTTAGTGACAAAACCAAAGGTAGGAAGCTTGGTTGGACTTTGTGACCCAACCAAAGGTAGGAAGGATGAGGCAACTTCGGGATACTTGAGACTCCGGTTTTAAGGCACTCACGCGCCTTGTGCTGCAGAAGGAGGTGAGCTGTGCTGCAGATGGTTGAAGTAAGGAGGCAGAAAGGAGGAGGTTTGCTGTGTTTCTAGGTGGCAGGAACGCCCTATATATGGTTCTGAATGGTGATTTGCAATTCTCATTTGTCCTCCGAGTGCCAGGGCACACACAGCAGCCAGTGGCAGCATCTTTTAGGCGCCTGAAAAGCCGACCTTTGAGCGGCCTCAGAGGTGCACACAGCAGCCAGTGGCAGCAGCCAGTCTCAGCAAACACTCACCCGCGTCGTGGTGGGGAAGGAGGTGAAAACTCTCTTTCCGGATGGCAGAAGCACTTGCGATTGCAACGCAAAGGAAGGTAGGTGCAAGGTCTGTGGTGTCCAAGCCGCCCCTAACCCCACCCTATCCTCAACCCCGAATGCAACTCGCCAAGCCCATGCGAGCGCAGTACAGCAAATGGGAGGGGCTTCCCTCTGACCGAGGCCGGCCCAGCTGATATTCGCGTCCACATCTGCACTTCATCTCTTCCTTCCTGTTCCCCCACCCTCCCACCCCCGCGCCCACCCCCACCCCATCCCCATCCTCCACTGCAAATGCAGCTCGCCAAGCCAAAGAGAGTGCAGTGCAGCAACTGGGAGGGCTTTCCTCTGACTGACGCCCAGCTGATCTACGCGTCAACAGACGCGTTTGTGTCGCTGAGAATTGTCAAAGTATATGCATGTTATATATGTGTAGGCTGTAGTGGGGTAGCCAATATGGGGTACAGCCCCTTTTAGGGTTTCATACTTGTACCCAACTCTTTCATAGTTCATCCATTCCTGCTGCTTGATTCTGACATGGTTTCAGAGCACTAGGTCCGTAGGACCGTTTTTTTTTCGGGCCCACCTACCGTTGCGGTTACCGTGTTACCCCACGTGTTGTCCTGCCTGCCTGCCTTGCCTTGTGACGTGCTGCGCTACGCGCGCCGTCCTGCAGCCCTCGTACTGCCCACTGCTGCCCTAGGCCAGAGCGCCGCCCCTGCAGGCCCGTAAGGCTCACGCGCCGCGCCTGCAGACACGTCAGGCCTGCGCGCCGCCCCTGCAGGCCCGTTAGGCCAGGGCGCCGCCCCGCCAGTTCGCTGCCCCGCGCGTCGCGCCCGCGCATCGCGCTGCAGCCCCGCGCGTCGCGCCCGCTGCCCGCGCGTCGCGCTGCAGCGCCGCGCGTCGCGTTCGCTGCCCGCGCGTCGCGCTGCAGCGCCGCGCGTCGCGTTCGTTGCCCGCGCGTCGCGCTGCAGCCCCGCGCGCCGCGGCTGCCGTCCTCGCGCAGCCCGCGGCGGCTTCGCGCGCCGCGTTTGCAGCTCGCGTGGCGCGCTGCAGCCCCGCGCGCCGCGGCTGCCCCTGGACGCCGCCGTCGCTCCTGCAGCAGCTGCCACGGAGCGCCCTGCCGCAGTCGCGGCCCCGCCCTGCAGCACCTGCCGCGGAGCCTCCTGCCACCGTCGCGACCCTGCCCTACAGCAGCTGCCGTGGAGCCTGCTGCCGCCGTCACGTCCGCGCCCTGCAGCAGCTGTCGCGGACCTGCCCTTCCTCCGACGCGGTCCTGCTCTGCCGCAGCTGTCGCGGCCCCGCCGTCGCCGCCGTTGTGAGCCTGCCCTTCTCGCCACTGGTGAGCACTTACCTGCCTGCCTGCCTGCCTGCCGCGCCTGCCCTGCCTGCGCTACTACTACTGCTAGACTGCTGCTGCTGCTGCTGCTGCTGCTGCTGCTGCTGCTGCTGCTGCTGCTGCTGCTGCTGCTGCTGCTGCTGCTGCTGCTGCTGCTGCTGCTGCTGCTGCTGCTGCTGCTGCTGCTGCTGCTGCTGCTGCTACTGCTGCTACTACTGCTACTGGCGGTGGCCAGATGCAGCTCCAGCGACGTTCACGCGAGTCTCTCACGCCCCAGCAGCTTAGTGGTACGCTAGTTGGGGTTGTGGCGGTCGCCGTCGTAGCTGTCGCCCTGGAGCTGGTCAGTTGAGAGCGTCTGGCAGTGGCCAGCTGCAGCTGCAGCGGCGTCCACGCGAGACACTTACGTCCCAGCAGCTTCACGAGTGGTACGCTCAGAGTAGAGGGTCTTTGAGTACTGTTCGCTGCCCGTACGTCATTCGCACAGGTGATCGGGTCGGTCAGCCGTGCAGGACGCTTGGTCACACACAGTCCCGCTGCTTCGCCCGTCTGAGCGACGCCTGGCGTACCGAGTTTGGCGACGAGGGTGAGCTCCCCTCCTGGCTGGAGCTGCTTGGACAGAGGGTATATATCTTTGCTCTTGACTATGATGCTATTCTCACTGCCATGTATGCATTGCCTACTAGTGCTGACCGTGCCTGTTCCCTGTGCGTACCGCCTGACCCAGGTATAGAGCCTGCTGCTCTAGGTGCTGGTGAGGCTGCTGCTCTAGGTGCTAGTGCGTCTCCTGCTCTTGGTACTGGTGAGGCTGCTGCTCCAGGTGCTGGTGAGTCTGCTCTCTCTGGTACTGCGCCTGCTGAGGCCGTGTACACCTTCACACTTGACTCAGGTGCTTCTCGCTCCTTCTTCCGCGATAGCACCACACTCACGCCGCTCCGTCGGCCGGTTGCAGTCTCCCTGGCAGACCCCTCTGGGGGTCCAGTCCTTGCGCACTCCTCCACGGTCCTGCCGTGTCCGGCGGTCCCGTCTGCCTCCCTGTCAGGTCTTCACCTCCCCTCGTTCTCTACGAACTTGGTGAGTGGAGCTGACCTACAGGATGTGTGGGTTGACCAGTTCACCCCTGGAGGTCAGTGTGTGACACACTGTACGTGTTCCCGGACTGGTCGGCACCTGGCCACGTTCACCCGAGAGCCTGGCTCGAGTCTGTACACACTCACCACTGTGTCCCCTCAGGTAGCTGCGTCTGCGTCTGCGTTTGCGTCAGGTCAGCTAGCGCCCCCCTGCTCGTGTCGCGCTCTGTCGCACCAGACCCTCCTTTGGCACCACCGCCTTGGTCACCCCTCGGTGCAGCGCCTTCGTAGCATGCACAGCCGTTTCCTTGTCTCTGGACTTCCAGAGACTCTGCCTCCTCTACCACCCTCGCCTGCTCCTCCCTGTCTTCCCTGTGTCGAGGAGCGGCAGCGTGCCGCTCCTCACTCCTCCTCGTTCCCTCCCACAGAGGCTCCCCTGCAGACTCTCCACCTGGACGTGTGGGGCCCAGCCCGTGTCCGTGGACAGGGCCACGAGCGGTACTTCCTGCTGGTCGTTGACGACTACACGCGTTACACCACGGTCTTCCCCTTGCGCAGCAAGGGGGAGGTCCCTGATGTTTTGATCCCCTGGATCCGCGCTACTCGTCTCCAGCTCCGCGAGCGGTTCCAGTCGGACTTTCCTGTCCTGCGTCTGCACTCTGACAGAGGTGGTGAGTTCTCCTCAGACCTCTTGACAACCTACTGTGCGGAACACGGCATCCGCTAGTCGTTCACGCTTCCGGCCTCTCCGCAGCAGAATGGGGTTGCTGAGCGCCGCATTGGCTTAGTCATGGAGGTCGCTCGTACCTCCATGATCCATGCGGCTGCCCCCCATTTTCTGTGGCCGTTTGCGGTCCGGTACGCCGCGCATCAGCTCAACCTCTGGCCCCGTGTCTCCTTGCCAGAGACCTCGCCCACACTGCTGTGGACGGGGAAGGTTGGCGATGCGTCGCGTTTCCGGGTCTGGGGTGCTCGTGCCTTTGTCCGCGATACCACCGCGGACAAGCTCTCCGCCCGCGCTGTTCCCTGTGTCTTCCTTGGCTTTGTCCCTGACGCGCCTGGTTGGCAGTTTTACCTCCCCACCTCGCGTCGTGTCTTCCCCTCTCAGGACGTCACGTTCGACGAGTTGGTTCCCTTTTACCGTCTCTTCCCCTACCGCACTGCCCCTCTCCCCCCCCCGCCGCTCTTCCTCGCTCCAGGTGCTCCCCAGGTAGACCCCCTCCCCGCTCCCGGTCCTGCTCCTTCAGGTGTGTCTCAGGTAGACCCTCCTCCCTTGACTGAGCCGGTTGAGGTCACTGGTGACTCAGGTCCTGCTGAGGGTGGTCCTGCTCGGGTTGCTGCTTCTGGGGGTGCTGCGCCTGGGGGTGCGGAGCCTGGGGGTGCTGAGCCTGGGGGTGCGGAGCCTGGAGGTGCGGAGCCTGGGGGTGCGGAGACTGGAGGTGCTGAGCCTGGGGGTGAGGAGTCTGGGGGTGCTGAGCCTGGGGGCGCTGGGGCGTCAGGTGAGCAGTCTACCTGGGGCGACCGTCTCCGTAGTCGCTCCGCTGGTGCCTCGCCGCTGCACTCTCGTCGTCGACTCCCTCTCTCCCCACAGCAGCTGCTTGAGTGGTACGCTGGCCGTCAGGGTCGCGCTGCTGGAGCTAGGGGCCCTGCTGCGGGAGGCGCTGGAGCTGGTGACTCTGCCACTGGAGTTGTTTCTGCTGGAGGTTCTGGAGCTGCTGAGGGCGCTGGAGCTGGAGGTTCTGGAGCTGCTGAGGGTGCTGGCGCTGGAGGTTCTGGAGCTGCTGGAGGTACTGGCGCTGGTGGCGCTGGAGCTGGAGGTTCTGGAGCTGCTGAGGGTGTTGGCGCTGGAGGTTATGGAGCTGCTGCGGGTACTGGCGCTGAGGGTTCTGAGTCTGCTGTTGCGCGGTTTCCTTGGAGTAGCCGCCTTCGTCCGCGTGTGCCTCTCACCTCGCAGCAGCTGCACGACTGGTACGGTCGCCGTCAGGGTCGCGCTTCTGGAGCTCGGGGCTCTGCCGCTGGAGGTACTTCTGCTGTCGTCACTGGAGCTGGGAGTGGTGCTGGTCCCGGAGGTGCTCGTACTGGAGGTACTGGAGCTGCTGGGGCTGGAGGTGCTGAGCCTAAGGGTGCTGCTGCTGGAGGCACTGAGGCTGGAGACCCTGGGACTGGAGGTGCCGGTTCTGGGGGTGCTGCTGTTGGTGGAGCTGGTCCTGGAGGAGCTGGCGCTGAGGGTTCTGGAGCTGCTGGAGGTGCTGGCGCTGGTGGAGCTGGAGCTGGAGGTTCTGGAGCTGCTGAGGGTGCTGGCGCTGGAGGTTCTGGAGCTGCTGGAGGTACTGGCGCTGGTGGCGCTGGAGCTGGAGGTTCTGGAGCTGCTGAGGGTGCTGGCGCTGGAGGTTCTGGAGCTGCTGGAGGTGCTGGAGCTGCTGGGGGTACTGGAGCTGCTGGTGCTGGTGTCACTGCACAGCCGCGCCTGTTCTTCGCTCCACCGTCTCCGTCGTCTCAGCCACCGCCTGACTCTGTGCTTCGCCAGGTTCTTAGTCTCCCTTCGTCTACTGGTCTTCCGTTATAGCCTGGCTCACCGCTGCCTGCTCCTTCTCCTTACACTGAGCAGCTAGGGGGTCTTACTGAGCGTCGTGAGCCTGCGTCGCGTCCTGTCTTGCCTGTCTGTTCTGGTCGTTCCGGTCGTCGTGTTCCTCGTCCGCGTCTGCCACCTCGTAGTCCGTCGTCCTTCCTCTCCTCCGCAGCGTGTTCCTCTGCCGTCCCCTCCTGCGTCTTCTCTGCCTGTCGTTGCGGACCCCGAGTCTGACCGGTTTCGTGCTGAGCACCCTACTGTCACGCGTCTGCTAGCCACTGTTGTCACTGACCCGTCGTTTGAGTCTGCTGCTACGTCTGCCTTAGTTGCTGAGCTTGTTGACTTTGCTGCTGCCTGTCGTCTAGACTACGCCGCTAGTCTTGTTGCTGAGTCTGAGTCTGTCTGTCCTCCGTCCGTCGGGGGTGAGTGTGCTCTTGGCACGGACGTCCTTGAGGACAGGCAGGAGGACCTTGAGTGTCTTGCAGCCGCTGCGCCTCATCTCGTGTCCATGCTGCTTGCCCCTGAGGGAGACCCGGATGCTCCAGACATCCCGACCCCGCGCTCTTACGCTGAGGCGATCGCGGGTGAGTACTCCTCTCAGTGGCAGACAGCCATGGATGCAGAGATGGCATCCTGGAAGTCCACAGGCACCTACGTCGACGATGTTCCCCCACCTGGGGCGAACATCGTCAGTGGCATGTGGATTTTCAGGGTGAAGCGGCCGCCAGGTTCTCCGCCTGCCTTCAAGGCGTGTTACGTTGCACGAGGTTTCAGTCAGCAAGACGGAGTAGACTTCTTCCAGACCTTCTCCCCGACCCCGAAGATGACCACTCTTCGGGTGCTGCTGCACGTTGCCGCTCAACGAGACTACGAGCTTCACTCTCTTGACTTCAGCACAGCCTTCTTACAGGGCAGACTGCACGAGGAGATCTGGCTGCGCCGCCCACCTGGCTTCACTGGGTCGTTCCCTCCTGGTACCCAGTGGAGCCTCAGGCGGCCGGTCTACGGTCTCTGCCAGGCGCCACGTGAGTGGCACGACACACTGAGGACGACACTTGCGGCTCTTGGGTTTGCTCCGTCGACTGCTGACCCGTCGCTGTTTCTACGCACCGACACTTCGCTGCCGCCGTTCTACATCCCCGTGTACGTCGACGACTTGGTCTTTGCCACTGCTGACACTGAGGCTCTCGCCCAGGTGGAGTCGGAGCTGCAGAAGAGACACACGTGCACAGACCTGGGTGAGCTGACAAGCTATCTTGGCTTGCGGATCACCCGGGACAGAGCACGCCGCACCATCACACCGACTCAGTCACACATGGTGCAGCAGGTCCTTCAGCGCTTCGGCTTCACCTGGTCCTCGGCACAGCACACTCCTCTGGGTACAGGTCACTCGCTCTCAGCTCCACCTTCGGACGAGTCCGTAGAGCCGAGTGGTCCTTACCCAGAGCTAGTGGGCTGCCTCATGTACCTGATGACCTGCACTCGTCCTGACCTTGCGTACCCTCTTGGCCTTCTGGCTCGCTACGTGGCTCCTGGTCGGCACCAAAAGGTGCACATGGATGCTGCTAAGAGGGTGCTACGCTACTTGTGCAGTACATCGGGCATGGGGCTCGTGCTTGGAGGGCGGAGCCCAGTTGTCCTCACTGGGCACTCAGACACTTCTTGGGTTGACGACCAGGCTACGCAGCGGTCGTCACAGGGTTACACCTTCAGCCTTGGCTCTGGTTCGGTTTCTTGGCGTTCTACACGCTCGTCTTCAGTTCTCAGCTCCAGTTGTGAGGCTGAGATCTACGCCACAGCCATGGCTGCACAGGAGTTACGCTGGCTCACCTACCTGCTGACCGACTTGGGAGAGAGGCCTCGTTCTCCTCCAGTGCTGTACGTCGACAACAAGGCTGCCATTGCCTTGTGTCAGGAGCACAGACTGGAGCACAGAACGAAGCACATCGCTCTGCGTTACTTCCTGGCTCGAGAGTTGCAGCAGCGTGGTCAGCTTCGTCTTGCTCACGTGGCCACTCGGGCCAACACTGCTGATATATTCACCAAGGCGCTTCCGTCTGGTGATCATCAGCGTTTCTGCACTCTGTTAGGCCTTGTGCCTACGTTTCCTCACTTGCTGTAGACTTTGCCTGTACTGTGATCTATATATATACCTGCATGTGAACTGGCCTTGTGGCCCTTTGCTTGTGCTCAGTGTGTGTGGTGACGTTGTGATCCACCCTGAGCTTGTTTTGCTTCTCTTGACTGGTCTTGTGACCCCTTGCTCTCCCCCACTTTGCCTATGGGGGTGTGTCAAAGTATATGCATGTTATATATGTGTAGGCTGTAGTGGGGTAGCTAATATGGGGTACAGCCCCTTTTAGGGTTTCATACTTGTACCCAACTCTTTCATAGTTCATCCATTCCTGCTGCTTGATTCTGACAAGAATCTTCCAGGAACTTGACGCCATGCCGAGCCCATGACAGCAAGGGAATGGGCATGTATCGGCAGCTGCAGTAGCTTCTGCTGTGGGTGCATCATTGGCAACTGCTGCAGCAGCAGCAGAAAAGGTAGAGACGAACAAGAGGAAGCAGGATGCAAGCGAGGAAGGGAAGTGGGCAGAGGAGGAAGGGATCGAGAAAGAAAGTGAGGAAAGGATGAAGGTGGGAGCAGCATCAGCAAGGTAGCAAGCTTGAAGGAGGCTGCTGAAGATACAGCAGGTAGATGGAGTTGGTTAATGAAGGCCACCACACGGCAAAAGTAGCAGCGGGGAGAAGTCGGATGCCACGCCGTGCATTTTACGTTCCAAGGAGCTGGCATGGCATGCCGAGGCAACAGGAAATGCAGAATGAGACTTGATATTGTTCTTGCCATGAATGCTTGTAACAAGTTAATGTCACGTTTTTTTATCATCAAACGGTATCACCTGGCTGTATTCGCATGGCTGGGCTGTGATACCTCTGTTTCTATAGGTAAATGGCCGCTTATGGAAACCGACCGATGTACTGTATATGTTACTTCAATCATTCTCTGCCTGCTACAGGGTTTTGGGGTGATAATGAGCATGAACATTCTGCACTACAATATACCTTGGAACTTAATTTGGCACCCACACTACCGCTTGAATCTTGCTGACTGCTGTATGGCCCGCTATGATGACAGAATCTCCCCCATCCTCCTCTGCACTCCCCTGGCCTGTCCCTCCCCTCCCATGCATTAAGCGTCTGAAACCACCTCACACTATCTGGCTTCACTCTTGCTGACTGCCGTGTGGCTCCTCTTGGTGGCACCCCCTTCCCTCCATCCTCCTCTGCCTTCCCCTCACATGCCCTTTACCCTTCCCCTCCTAAGCAATAAGCAACTGAGACCACACCACTCTTATCTCTTAAACCTTCCCCTTTCCACACCGCACCACGCATTAAACAACTGAAACCACATCACTCTATCGTTTGGCTCTTGCTGACTGCCTGGTGGCTCGTCGTGGTGGCAGATCCTCCCCCATGCTCCTCTGCACTCTCCTCACCTGCCCCTCCTCACCGTGCACCATCCCTCTGTACCCCTTCTCCCTCCCTTCTCTGGCTGCAGATTCGGTCTCACATCCTCCCTTCCGTCCTCCTTCTGTTCCCTGCAGACTACCATCCGCTGCTGCTTCTCCCTTCCTACCTTTCCCAACCCTCCCTTTCTCCAATGATGCACATTGATCATTCTCCTTCATAACACCCCCTTTCTTCTTCCCCCGGCCATCCCTTCCCCCTCGACCCTTTCCAAGCATGCATGCCTCCTCACTCTCTCCCTCCTCTCTTTCGCTCATCCGCCTCTCCACCTCACTCTCACAACCCCTTCCGCCAACCTCTCCCCCCTCCCTCGTCAATCTCTCATGAAATCTCATACTCCCCCCACCACCAACCCTCCCCTTCCCCACTCCATCCCCATCCTCCTCCTCTGCCCCCCTGCCACGCCCCACTCCCCTCCTCTCTCTCACTTTCGGCACACTCACAGTCCTCAGGATAGGAGTCTTGTTCCCATGCCCTTCCACATCCCTAATAATAGCTGCTGCAGTCGCTGCTGCTTGCACTGCTGCCCGTGCTCGCTCCTCCTCTCTCTGCTCCTCCCCTTCCTCTTCCTCTCCCCGCCCTTCCCCTTCCTCCTCTGTACCTGCCAACCCACTCCTGCCGAACCTCTCGTCTCCAAGCCTGCTTCTGCTTCGGGATCTGGTTCGGCTGGGAGGGTTGGGGGTGACGAAGAGTGGGCTGCACAATGTGCTAGCAGATAGCCCGTTGGATTGAGTAGCAGCAGCAGCAGCAGCCCCAGCAGAAGCAGAAGCAGATGCAGTAGAAGGATTCCCAGAAGATGCCATAGCAGCAGCAGCAGCACGAGGAGGAGGAGGAGGAGGAGGAGTGCCAACAGCAGCAGCACCATCACTGCCACCTGCTGAATTGCTGTCCTTGGTTGGAGTTTGAAACTCGGCTGACTTTCTTCCCCTACTTCTCCCTGCCTCCGCTCCTTCACTCCCTTCCTCTCCTTCACCCTCATCTCTCACCACCCCTGCAGCATCAGGAGCTTCAGCAGCACCAGTAGCACCAGCAGCCACAGCAGCAGGTGTAGACGCAGCAGCAGCAGCAGCGGCAGCAGCTTTACCTTCACCTCCACTACCACCACCACCACCAACACCACCAGCACCAACACGACCACCACCACCAGCAGCAGAATCACTACCAGCAGCCCTGGCAGCAGCAGCAGCTCTGGCCCGTGCAGACTCATGCTTCTGAATGTCATACACAAGCTCTTTCCCCAGCTGAGGATCCGCCGCTAGCAAGTCCTCTATCTCCTCCTTATACTCCTTGAACAGGCACCGCAGACACGCCATCAGCGCCCCCTGCAGCGGGCTGGTCTGTGCCTCCAGCAGCCTCTTGAGCTCGATCAGAACAGGGATGGTGTTCTCTACCAGGTTTTTCTTCATCAGCTGCGTTACCACCCGCCCTTTCAGAGCATTCGCCAACGCCCCCGCTCCTCCTCCTCCGCCTCCTCCTGCTCCTCCTGCTCCTCCTCCTGCCCTCCCGCCACCACTGCCACCTCCTCCCCCTGCAACCCCGCCTGCGCTTCCTCCTGCCTCTTCCTCCCCGTCCTCCTCCGCACCTGCTGCGGCCTTGCCTGAGCCTGGGCGCATCTCCTTGCAAGAGAGCACGTCTAGGGCGTCCCCCACCACGGCTTGCACCGAGGGGCAGGAGAGCGGCAGGGCACCGTCCAGCAAGGGCGCGAGAACCTGCGAGTAGGGGAAAGGTTGGCAGGCAGGATATAGCCGTGTGAAAAAAGGAACGCTGCAACCACATTCAAAACAGAATGTGCAGGGCGTCCCCCACCATGGCTTTCACCGAGGGGCATAAGAGCGGCAGAGCGCCATCTAGCAAGGGCGCGAGCACCTGTTGGTAGGGGAGAGGTTTGCAGACATGATAATTGTTGTGAGAACAGACATTTTATACCTGTAGGTAAGGTTGCGAGCATGCGTAGGAGGGAAAATGGGAAATGTGAATAACGCCAGTATCAAGGTGTCTACAGGAAATGGAGAAAGGTAGAGGGTTGTGTAGTGGATAGCGGCAGCTGCAGGCAGGGGGACGAGGAGAAATGAAAGCGATGCTAGAGGCTTCAGCAGACTCTAGAGTACATTAGCGTGAGCAACGGCCCTACCTGAAGACAGAGCTTGGCGGGAGGGGCCTACCTGTAGGCAGAGCTTGGCAGAGAGAGCGAGATGGTGCTCTCGAGCCATGAGGCGGAGTAGAGTGCGGTACACAGTGGTTCGTGCCGCGTGGCGAGATGGGCCGCTGGTGGGGAAGAGGACGGAGGGGAGAAGAGGGGATGCAGTGGAGAGAGGAGGTTATGAGATGAAGGGAACGTGGTGCACAGTGGTTCTTGCTGCATCTTGAGAGAGCTGTAGGCTGGAAATGAGAGAAGGTGGACAGAATACAGGGGAGGAGAGGGAAACGGAGGGGAGACGGGAGAGAGTGATACTGCTGAAGATTTTTGTAGAAAAAGCAGAGTGCTGGGATCGGTGAGTAGGCATGGGCACACGCAGGTGCTGCAAAAACACCAACAGAGAAGCAGGAAGGGCCAAAGCGGGGCAAGCACACGCCCTCCTACTCACCTCAAAGAGAAGCGCTCTAGCTCTTCATCCACGCCCTCCCTCCCTGCCCCTGCACCCCTCCCACTCCGCCCCCCTCTCTTCTCTGGCCACCCGTCTCCCTCATGGATGCCCTCGACAGGAGAACTTAAATTGGGACAGTTGGGTTGCGCTGGATCGCAAGGGCCAGCTTTGGACGAGCTAGGATTGGTTGACCCAGGTTTGGATGAGGCAGGGTTGGGAGGGCTGGAGGAGGAAGGGCGAAGGCCAGAGGAGGGGAGAGGCGGGGCGGTGGTGGTGGAGGAGGGGGCGAAGGGGCAGGCGTTGAGAGCAAAGAGGGCTTCGATGAATATGTTGTACGGCACGAGGGGCACACGGCCTGTGGAGGGGTGGAGAGGGGTAGAAAGGGGTGGAGAGAGGTGGAGAGGGGTGAACTGGGTTGCGAGTGTAGGTGTAATGGGGCATCGGTCGCATGCGTTGAGGTGCAGAGAGGGCTCTTTATGAAGAAGTTGTAGTAAGGGCGGTAGCGAGGTGCAGGTGGTGACTTGCAAATCATCACCATGACTGATTTGGGAAACATGCAACTGAGACTTCCTCCACTATTAAGAAAGCAGCATGTGCACAACTGCAGCAACACAGAAGCCCTCCCACCCCTCTGCAGCAGCCCTGCCAGCAGCCACACTTCGCTCACAGAACCCCTCCCACCCCTACCCAGCCCCATTCCCCTCCTTATCACTTACGGGGAACGACATGTGTGAAGAAGTGAAGGGCCACGTCCCTGATGGCACTGCTCTCATCCACAACACACAGCAGAACTCGCAGAACCAGCGCCCCCCGCCACTTCACATAGTCCCTCTGCAGCAGCCCCGCCAGCACCCACACTCCACTCACACAACCCCTCCCCACCCCTTCCCACCCCTCCCAAGCCCATTTACCCTTTTTTTGACTCACGAGGAACGACGTGTGTGAAGAGATAAAGAGCCACCTCTCTTATCGCCTGCGACTCATCCACAATGCACAGCAGCACACGCAGCACCAGCGCTCCCCGCCACTTGACGTAGTCCCTCTGCAGCAGCCCTGCCAGCACCCACACTCCAGTCACCGAAACACCCCTCCCCACCCCTCCCCACCCCATCCCACCCTTCACAAGCCCCTTTCCCCTCTTTTTGACTCACGAGGAACGACGTGTGTGAAGAGATAAAGGGCCACCTCTCTTATCGCCTGCGACTCATCCACAAGGCACAGCAGCACGCGCAGCACCAGCGCCCCCCGCCACTTCACATAGTCCCTCTGCAGCAGCCCCGCCAGCAGCACGAGCGTCTGCCGCCTCACGAGCTCGCAGGGGTCGCGCAGGCAGGCGGAGATGCAGGGCACGTGTGGGTCGACGAGAGCTGTGTAGCGCACACAGAGGTCCGTGAGAATGATGACCAGGTTGTTGCGCACCGAGGGGAGTGGGCTGCGCTGCAGCTCCTGTTGGGTTTGGAAGAAAGGATTGGGGGAAGGTTAGCAGGCAGGCGGAGATGCAGGGCACGTGGGGGTCGACGAGGGCCGTGTAGCGCACACAGAGGTCCGTGAGGATGATGACCAGGTTGTTGCGCACTGATGGGAGAGAACTCCTCTGGAGCTCCTGTTTAGTTCGGGAATTGCGGGTTGGGAGAGGGTTGGGAGGGAGTTAGAAGGCAGGTGGAGATGTAGGGCACGTGGGGGGCGGTGTAGCGCACCGTGAGAATCACGATGAGGTTGTTGCGGACCGAGGGGAGAGGACTGCACTGCAGCTCCTGTGGGGAACAAGGGTTGGGAGGGGTTGAGAGGGTTCAGAGCACATGCGGGTCCACGAGGGCTGTGTGGCGCACACAGAGGTCCGTGGGAATGACTGACAGGTTGTTGCGGACCGAGGGGAGAGGACTGCGCTGCAGCTCCTGTTGGGAGCAAGGGGTGGAAGGGGGTTGAGAGTGTTCAGAGCACATGGGAAGCGACGAGGGCGGTGTAGCGCACACAGAGGTCTGTGAGAATGATGACCAGGTTGTTGCGCACTGAGGGTAGAGAGCTCCGTTGCAGCTCCTGTTTGGTTCGGGAGAGAGGGTTGGGAGCGTTGGGAGGGGGTTGAGAGGGGTTCGGGACGGAGTTAAGAGGCAGGCAGGCAGGCAGAGATGCAGGGCACGTGGGGGTCGACGAGGGCCGTGTAGCACACAAATACATCGATCAGAATGCACAAGAATCAGGTCGTTGCAGACTGAGGGAAGATAACAGAGGACAAGAAAGCAGCAAAAGTTGATGCTTTCCTGGACGAAGAGGGGCACGCATGTCTTAGCCAGTGCGTGGTCCACAAGACAGAAAGAGTTTTTGAGTCGACTAGAAGAAAGAAGCAAAGGTCAAAGCGTAACACTTGCCTGGACGAAGAGCGGCACGCACGTCTTGGCCAGTGCATGGCCCACAAGAAGCAAAGGTCGGAGAGTGACACTTGCCTGGACGAAGAGAGGCACGCATGTCTTGGCCAGTGCGAGAGAAGCGACCCAGAGCCAGCCACCCATGCGCTAACACCGGCACCCGCACCCCTGCGGCTCCTGCTGCTGCGGCGCCTGGTGTTGCTGCTGCCGCTGCCGCTGCTGCTGCCCCAGCGTTGGTTGCAGCAGCAGCAATGGGTGCTGGTGCCGCTGAGGAAGCCCCTAGAAGCAGCTCCAGAAGGCACTGAAATGCTTCTTTCAGCTCACTCTGCAGCAACACGAGCGGCTCACACTCACTCGCTCCCCTTCTGCTGCCCCCGCTTCTTCCCTTGCTCTTCCCGTTCCCCCCTTGCCTCCCACCAGCAGCAGCAGCAGCAGCTCTTTCAACACCACTATCACTATCAACACCAGCCACAGCTGCAGCTGTCGCAGCAGCAGCGGCAGCCCCAGCCCCAGCAGCAGCAGCAGCAGCGTGTGTTTCTGCGAGTTCTCCTGCAAGGAGAGCCAGCTGGCCGCACACAAACACTGCACACTCCACCCTCTGCCCCCAACGCTGCCCCTCTGCCCCCTCCTCCAACTCCTTCTGCTTCTGCTGCTGCTGCTGCTCCTTCGCCTCCTCCCCACCCCCTCCTCTGGCTGCTCCTCTCCCTGCTGCTGCTGCTCGTCTCTCACTTCCCCCCTGTTCTGGTCAGGGCTCCCCTGCCGGCTGCTACCTGCTTTGAGCTGTAATCGCACGATCTCTGTGGCTTGCTGGCACAGCTCCAGGCACCAAGCAGCAATGGTTGCTTCCGGTGATTCGCTCGCACAAGGTGCTGCTTCAGCTGCCATGCCACTTCCCAGGACAGGAATGCTGCTGCTACCTCGGTTGCTGCTGTTGCTGTTGCTGTTTCTGTTGCTATTGTTGCTGCTGTTTCTGCCAGTGCTGCTGCGGCTGCTGCCAGTGGCGGCATGTCGATTGAGAGTGGCAAGAGCGACCATGTGGACGCCAGCCTGTTCACAAGGGAAACAATGCGGGCAAATATGTTGAAGGAATAGAGCGTGAGAAGGACTATCGTGGCTAAGGGCTGGATCGTGGCTAAGTGAACCCAGGAATAAGTAAGACGGTGCATCCTGAGGCAACCAGCACACTCATACGCGCTGCACAACAGGACAAATCGGGCCAATTGCAGCGCCTCACCTCTTCTGGGGACAGCTGGAAGCTGCGCAGGTTGTGCAGCAGGCCTGCTGCCACGTCAGCAGCTTTCTCCCCTGGGATCCGTGCAGCAACGTTGCAGAGCGCCTTGAGCACATGCACTTGCGCCTCTCTCTCCTGCCCGTCCAACACCTGTGCCTCTCTCTCCTGCCCGTCCAACACCTGTGCATCTCTCTCCTGTTCGGGATGTGCAGGAGAGACTGGCTCGGGACGAGCAGCTTCGTCTTGACTTCTGTTGGCGGCTTCCTGCTGCTTCCTGCCGTCCCTCCATCTGGAAATCAGAAACTCCCATCTGACCCCCTGGGGCGAGAAGGAGGTGACTTCCAGCAGTAACAGCCATGCACCCCTCACCACCCACCTCCACACCCTGCAGGGGCTGCTCCCCTTCACACCTGCTGCCTTTCCTACTGAACTCCCCTTCCCGTTCAGCTGCTGCTGCTGCTGCTGCTGCTGCTGCTGCTGGTGCGCGTTCTGCCATCCCTCGGCCGCTTCAATCACCGCCTGCAGCCCTTCCACGAGCCTTGCATTGAGCGCGTTTCGCCGAGCCAGAACCGCACACGCACGGTGCAGCAACGGCACCACCGACGAGTTTCCTTGACCAACCGCCATCAGCCACGCCACAGCACTTCTCACTGACCCTTCAGCTACTACTGGTGCTCTTGCTTCTCCTGCTGCTGCATTTCCTCCTCCTGCTCCAGCACCCTCCACCCCAGCGGCCCGCCCACACACCTCACACACTCCCTCCCCTTCACACAACACCGGAGCAGGAGGCACCCCCCTCCTCCCCACACACACGTGCAGCGGCCTATCCTTGCACAGACTCATCCTCGAAGCAGAAGAGGGGCGGGGAGACGCGGAGATGAGGGCGAGGGGTTGGAGGAGCAGGGAGGAGAGGAGGTCTAGCGCCTGGTCTTGCACACTGGCCTCGTTGTCGAGAATGAGAACCAGCGCGGACTTCAGCCACTTGGATCGCAGCCACACGTGGCCTGGGTTGGACATTGTCAACTGAGAAGACAAAGGGAGAAGGGAAGGGAAGGGAAGGGAAGGGAAGCGGAAAGGATGAAACAAAGAGATGAGATGAGAGGGCGAGCAACCTGGCCCTTGGATTGCAAAACGAGGAGTACGCGGGCACACGGAGAGCAAAGGTTGAACCCAGTGTTCTAGTGCCGTAAGGTGACCGTACCTTTGACAACCCCGTGTGAGCCACCCTCCGGACGCTCAGCAGCGAGTCAGAACAGAGTTCCCCAATGGCATCCACCGGTTCCTCCCTCAGTAACTGGTGTCTATGTTGACCTTACCTTGGACAATGCCGTGAGAGCCACCCTGCGGACACTCAGCAGCGAGTCAGAGCACAGCTCCCCAATGGCATCCACCAGTTCCTCCCTCAGCGGCAGCTTCGACAACCCCACTATCTCCTCCAGAGCCCCCACCGCTGCCTTGCGCACCAGCCCCTTCTCGTCCTCCAAACGCCTCCGCACCATTCCCAACACCTCCTCCACACTCAGAACCGACCCACCCGACCCAGCTCCCAATGCCGCTCCAGGCTCCGATTCCCCACTCAGCCCGGACCCACCACCCACACTGGCGCCAGGCTCGGCTTGTGCATGAGCATGAGCGTGAGCAGGAGCATGGGCATGAGCATGACCCGCAAGTACAGCGTCCAGGAGCGAGGGGCGCCCTTTCAGAATCCGAAGAGACGCAGTGAGCGCCACAAGGGCTCGGGCGCGTACAGTGGGACTGGCGTCCGAGGCCCTACGGAACATGAGCTCCAAACAGCCGCCAACACGGCTGATCAGAACGTCTCTCACGTTTCCATTCCCGCTGCTATCCCCAGACTCTCTGCTGTCATTCCCAACCCCCGTGCCATTTCCACTCTCCCTGCCACTGTGAGCATCTCCTTCCGAAGCTGACCCCTGACTCAGACTCACTTCATCCCCCTTGTCGCCCTCTCCATCTCCCCCCTCCCCCCCAGCCCCGTTCCCTCCTTCCCCACCGGCTGCCTCCCCACTCCCCCTCCCAATCCCCGGATCCCCCCCTTCCGCATCACGACTCCCACCCGCACCACCCTCTTCCATAGCCCCCAACCCCATACTCCCTCCCCCCCCTTCCCCTCTCCCCCACATCAGCGCCATCCGTTCAACCAGAGCAGCACTCAAATCCACAGCCATCACCCTCGCGGCTGCTCTGTCAACCCTCGCCAGCTTCCCCACGAACAGAAAAAAACCCTCCCTCTCCTTCCTCCCCACCGTTTCGTACACCTTCACAACCGCTTCCACCGCCGCCGCCCTCCCTTCCGCTCTCTCCGGCGCATGCATGTACAGGTAACGCATCAGAGACTCAACCGCAGGAATACTCTCCTTTGGCGCTTTCGTGAGAATATTGGATGTGACAAAATCGAGGGCGCGGGACCGCAGCAGCGAGGGGGAAACCAGGCTCGGAGCTTTTGAGCTGTTGCTGCTGGTGGCGGCGACGTCAGCGTGCGTCATGAGGACGTGCGGACCAATGGCCATGAGGATATGAGCGGCTGTGTCAAGCGGTTTGCCATGCTGCGGGTCCGTTAACTGAAGTTAGGGGGGAGTGGATGGACACCGGACGGCAGCGAATCAACTTCAGAGATAGCAGGGCAACAATGACACACGAATACCCCTGGAAAGAAGAGAGTCTTCCTGGCATGAATAGCTTACTGTACCACTGATGCGAATATACTTGGAGTAGCATATGGCACGCTTGCATCACTTTTGAGAATTCACACAAGTGATACAAGCATGAATAACTTACTATAGCCCCCATGCGGATATACCTTGAGAAGCATACAGTAGGGAAGTCTCCAGGCTTCTATCGTCCGGCCTCCGCCCACTGAAACTCTCGTCCGATCCGCACCGACGTATCCCTTCCTTCCTCCCTCCACCCGCTGCTGATCGTCTAGAGAAAATCGCGTGGCCTCCACGAGCATCCCCAGCAGGGACTTACGTGTCTCGTTCTGATTCGCCAGTTTCAGAACCTCGAGTGCTTGCGAAAGGTAACCCAGCACAGACAGCAGAGTCACGCCTAGCCTGCTCTGAGTCTCGTCGCCACCCGGCTGGTTACCATCTTCGTCCATCATGTCGCCCGTTTCGTCGTCCTCATCACTTCTCAACGACGACTTTCGATGCTTACTTGTACCTTTTCCTTTCCCGTGGTTCTTCTTCCTCCCGCCGTTAGCCTTCGGTGCATCAGTGTCAACACTCGCGGAACCGGAAATTCCCGTTATAACCTGTCGAAGGGCCTGTACCATTGCGCTAAAAGCGAGCGGATTGAAGATGCTATAAACGGGGCAGTTGGGCAGCAGAAACAGGTTGAGGAAAACCGCAGCAGCTGTGAGCCTGACGACGGGAGGCTTCTGAGAAGATTCCATCGTGATGCGGAGAGATTCGACGACGGAGGACGCAGAGACCCCAGTTGATGCAAGCGACTCCCAGATCTGCGAACGAAACGGAGGAAAGGTGAGATTTCTGTTTCACAGTCTCGCATGTCTGACTATGGGAAAAAAACGCTCAGAAGAAAAACAGATTCTGGCGAATACTCTGAAATCTGCAAGAAAAGCTTCGACAGAAGATCAATGCGGGATTATTTTGAGACGAAGAAAATCGAGGTGACAATAAGATTCGGAGCAAAGAGCTGTAAAAATGTCCAGCGGCGAGGAAAACTAAGCTCCCAGGGTGAACAAGCATGTGACAAGAGAGGGAGAGAATTCGTGCAAGATAGAGAGAAAGAGGCGCACCTCTTGCTCCTGTTCATCGTGGGTGTAGGACAGCATGTGCTCGAGCAAATTCTCCATTTCTGCGAGAGTCAGCGGCTCTTGACTGATGTTCTTCTCTCCAGAAACGGAAACTTCGCCAGGACTCCTCGCCATGGCGTGCACGAGCTCGGTGGTCCGCGAACTCATAGCTAGTGACGTCCGCGAAGACATAGCTAGTGATGTCTTAAACTTGAGAAGTCGATTAATCTCAGGACTCTTGAACTCGTGACGATCGTGGGTAACTGCTACTCTTGAATTGATAAATGCTGACGCTTAGCACCAAGGCCCTTGGTACGAGGGCATGAACCATGAAAAAATGACAAGTTACCAGTTTTTGCAAAACGAGATGCTTTGCAGATCAGCCTTGCGGTTCATACGGTACGAGATGAGTTGCAGCCATACGGTAGTGGTAGAAAACGCAGTATCAGTCGACGGACCAGAAGCCATGAGAAGCATGATCAATCTATAGGCTCTGCTGCTGCAGCTTTTGTGGAATAGAGCTTTGCCTTGAATTCACTGGCGGAAGAGCTTGGTCCATAGAGAACAGCATTGAGTTGGGTTTACGATTCAGCGCAGCGTGAGTGCCATACCCCAAGAACCGAAGTGTAAATGTCCCGAACCGTGCTCTAAGCGTAATGCACCTTCCTAATGTCCTCGCGTTTCGGGATTGTCCACAACACACCTCAGCTCCATGTCAGAGCATCTCAGTTCAAAATTCCCGCCAGCCTTCAGATCGGTCAGGAAGAGCTCTGACAGCAGCCAATTCAATATATGTTCTGCTTCACTAAACCAATACGACTCCAAATTTGATGTTGATCCCTTTACATCCCACCTCTTAAAGGTTATGCGAATCGGATTAGACAGGACTGTACATCAAGGGGGCTAACATAATGGACAGCCAATCAACTCGTTCATCTGGGTTGAGACACCATTGTTCTACAAACCATTTTTTACCAACTACGCAAAACCAAGTTTCGTGTTTTCGTCATACAGTTACCGGATTAGAGGGCAACGGACATCACATTGATTAGTTCAAATTGCTAACCACACCAACATATTATCGGTTCGATGCAAATACTTAAGCAGCTTTGTGGGGCTGCTGGTGAGCGTCATGCTGCCGTATTTGATCAACACTGTAACCATGAAGAGCGTCGGCAAGGCAGCTTACACACTCCCTACCACAATCATACCTCGAGAACAATGCTCCACCTACCCCCTGCCTGTGCCCATCTCTCCCATCTTTCTACATGCGTTCGTGAGGCTGTAGGTGGCCGCCATGCTCCCATACTGGTCTACAGCCACGCCTATGAAAAGCATGGGCAAGGCAGCTTACTCCCCTTCCCCCCTTGCCTACTTCCCCTTTACCCCTCAGACATGTGTGGGGCTGCTCGAGGGCGCCATGCTGCCCTGCGAGTTCAGCACCATGACCATGAAGAGCGTCAACAAGGCAGCTTACTCCCCCTTCCTCTCTTGCCCACCTCCCCATTGCACACACAGACCTTTGTTGGCCTGCTAGTGGACGCCATGCTGCCCTATGGGTTCAGCACCATGACTATGAAGAGCATCGGCAAGGCTGCACACCCTTACTGCTCCTTCTGCCCCCTCCCTCTGCCCACCTCTCCCCTGTCCCCTCAGATATTCGTTTGCCTACTAGTGCCATGACCATGAAGAGCGTGGGCAAGGCGGCTCTAGCCATGGCGGACGAGGTGCGGCGGCAGTTTGACACCATCCCGGGCCTCATGGAGGGCACCGCCCGCCCCGACTACCACAAGTGCGTGCAGATCTCCACCAAGGCGTCGCTCAATGAGATGTTGCCACCTGGCGCGCTTGTGCTGCTCGCGCCGATCATCACGGGGGTTCTGTTCGGGACGGCAACGCTGGCAGGGCTCCTGGCAGGGGCGCTGGTGTCTGGGGTGCAGATGGCGGTATCGGCGAGTAACACGGGCGGCGCGTGGGACAACGCGAAGAAATACATCGAAGCGGGGATGACGGAGCACGCGCAGTCGCTGGGGCCGAAGGGGTCGGAGGCGCACAAGGCTGCGGTGATCGGGGATACTGTGGGGGATCCTCTCAAAGATACGTCTGGGCCGTCGCTGAATATTCTCATCAAGCTGATGGCGGTTGAGTCGCTGGTGCTGGCGCCCTTCTTTGTGGCGCACGGCGGGCTCATTTGGGGCAAGTCCACGTGAGGGGAGTTGGTGGGGGGGGGGGGGGGGGCAAGAGTGGAGGGGCAGACTGGAGTGTGTGCTGGTTGTATGGGGCATAAGCTGGTTGTTGAGTCCCTGGTGCTGGCGCCCTTCTGTGTTGCACACGGCGGGCTGATTTGGGGCAAGGCTAAGCGACGGGAGGGGGAGATAGATTGGAAGACGGATTGGGGGTTATTGGCTGGAGGTACCAAGCTGTGTTGGTTGTGATTTCGAGTCAACTCTCATGTCAGGGGTAGAGCTTACTCACGGAGGGGTGTTTGCTTCAAACACCTCAATACATCTGACGACCAAAGGGATGTTTTCCCAAGTTTCAACAATCAGTAGATTAGATGGCAAGAGTTGTGGTAGGGGGATGGAGAGGGGGGATAAGCTAGTGGCAGCAGCACCACTGGTGCTGGTAGCCAGTGGCCGTAGTTGGCACATAAGGGGCTGCTCTGGGCGTGGCTGTTCCAGTTAGATGAGAGCCTGGGGGAAGATGGAGCACAAACAGATTCCCTGGTATAATTTCAAGGCCCCAGTCGGAGTGATAAACACATTGCTGCATGTATGGGAATGGGGGGCTGTCGAGGTGATAGACGTGATGTAATGTAACCTACGGTAGGTGCTTGCTGAGGGTAGTTCCACAGCCCGATGTGCTGGGTCGGATCCTTTCCTTGGTTTGGTGTCAGTCTTGATTGATATGGGTGAGAATTGTTGGGATAACCGAACGGTTATTTTAACATTCCCGAAGGTTCACCTTAGCGCACCGCTTCATAACGAAGCAGCGCACATGTATCAGTACCGCACTAGCTCATATAGAGCACACGAAGGTCAACAGCCACGAGAAGGTTAATAGTAGTGGAAAGTCAATAGTTGCGACTGTTGACCACCCCGCCTTACAAGCTGCAACCCAGTAACTGTCGAGGATAACAATAGCCGCAGTTGCTGTAGCAATGCAAAGCAGTTAATAAGGGAATGTACCTCTTAGTGTACATGGCTAGCTATGAATGCTACCGTATTGAAGCCTTTTGTAATTCTATCTTTATCATCTTGTTCTCTTTCAATTATTAGCGTTATGGTAACAGGTGCGTTATGGCTGAGAAGAAACGAGGAATGGGATTGACTAAGGGAAAGTTGGGTACAAATGTAAACCCTAGAAAACTGTACCCCATATGTGCTACCCCGCTATAGCCTACAGTAGCTATGTCATATAAATCTGACACACCCCCATAGGCAAAGTGGGGGAGAACAAGGGGTCACAAGACCAGTCAAGCAAAGCAAAGCAAGCTCAGGGTGGATCACAAAGTCACCACACATTCCGAGCACAAGTTCAAGGCCACAAGGCCAGTTCACATGCAGGATTACATATACATATAAGGCTAGACAAGCAAGAGCAGGTGTATATATATATGCAACAGTACAAACAAGGTCAAGGGGTGAGCAAGTGAGGCAAGGTAGGCACAAGACCCAGCTGAGTACAGAAGCGCTGATCATCACAAGGCGCAAGTGCCTTGGTGAAGATATCAGCAGTGTTGGCCTGAGAGGCCACGTACGCAAGCCGCAGCTGACCACGCTGCTGTAGCTCACGAGCAAGGAAGTAGCGGAGAGCAATGTGCTTCGTTCTGTGCTCCAGTCTCTGCTCTCGACACAAGGCCAGCATGGCCTTGTTGTCTACGTACAGCACTGGAGGAGAACGAGGCGGCTCTCCGAGGTCAGTCAGCAGGTAGGTGAGCCAGCGAAGCTCCTGTGCAGCCATGGCCCCGGCGTAGATCTCAGCCTCACAACTGGAGCCGAGAACAGAAGACGAGCGGGTAGCCCGCCACAAAACAGAGCCGGAACCAAGGCTGAAGGTGTAACCCTGTGACGACCGCTGCGTAGCCTGGTCGTCAGCCCAAGAAGCGTCTGCGTGCCCAGTGAGGACCACTGGACTCTGCCCTCCAAGCACAAGCCCCATGCCCGACGTACTGCACAAGTAACGCAACACCCTCTTCGCTGCAGCCATGTGCTCCGGTCTGTGTCTCCCAGGAGCAACATAGCGTGCGAGAATGCTAAGAGGGTATGCGAGGTCAGGTCGTGTGCAGGTCATCAGGTACATGAGGCAGCCAACAAGCTCTGGGTACGGGCCACTCGACTCTACGGACTCATCCGAAGGCAGAGCTGAGAGCGAGTGGCGAGTAGGCAGAGGAGTGGCCTGAGGCGAGGAGTACGTGAAGCCGAAGCGCTGAAGGACCTGCTGCACCATGTGTGACTGAGTCAGGGTAATGGTGCGGCGTGCTCTGTCCCGGGTGATCTGCAAGCCAAGGTAGCTGCGCAGTTCACCCAGGTCTGTGCACGTGTGTCTCTTCTGCAGCTCGGACTTCACGTGGGTGAGTCCAGCAGTGTCAGCTGTGGCAAAGACCAAGTCGTCGACGTACACGAGGATGTAGAACGGCGGCAAAGAAGTGTCGGTGCGCAGAAACAGCGACGGGTCGGCAGTAGAGGGAGCAAACCCAAGAGCCGCAAGTGTAGTCCTCAGTGTGTCGTGCCACTCACGCGGTGCCTGGCGGAGACCGTAGACTGGCCGCCGGAGGCTCCACTGGGTGCCAGGAGGAAAAGACCCAGTGAAGCCAGGTGGGCGACGCAGCCAGATCTCCTCGTGCAGGCTGCCCTGCAAGAAAGCAGTGCTGAAGTCAAGAGAGTGCAGCTCGTAGTCGCGGTGAGCAGCTATGTGCAGCAGTACCCGAAGAGTGGTCATCTTCGGGGTGGGAGAGAAGGTCTGAAAGTAGTCAACTCCCTGCCGCTGACTGAAGCCACGATCCACGTAACGCGCCTTGAAGACAGGCGGAGAACCCGGCGGTCGCTTCACCCTGAAAATCCACATGCCACTGACGATGTTCGCCCCAGGCGGGGGAACCTCGTCAACGTAGGTGCCTGTGGACTTCCAGGAAGCCATCTCTGTGTCCATAGCTGCCTGCCACTGAGAGGAGTAGGGACCCTCTATCGCCTCCGCGTAAGAGCGCGGAGTCGGGATGTCAAGTGCATCCGGGTCTCCCTCAGCAGGACCGCCTCCAGGACCGACAGCAGTAGCCTCAGCGTCAACACCCTCAGCAGCTCCAGCTCCAGTCGTACCCGCAGGCCCAGCAGCTCCAGTACTCCCAGTACGAGCACCTCCGGGACCCGCGGCACCAGCACCCTCAGCAGCCGAAGAACCTCCAGCTCCAGCAGCACGCCTCCAGCGCCGGGCAAACCACTCGCAAAGCACAACATGTTCGTTATGGTAACAGGAGGTGCGTTATGGTAGCCCAGTCCAACCAAGTCCCCTTCGCCTCTACCAGTCCAACCAAGTCCCCCTCACCTCCGCCAGCCCAACGCAAAGTCCCCCTTGCCTCTGCCAGCCCAGCCGCCCTACCAACACAAGCCCGAGCCTTCCCCCAACTCCCTCGTGCCACTTGTCCTCCCCCAAACTCTCTGACACCTTTTGTAGCCCAATCCTTCGCCCACAACTCGCTCGCTCGTACCTTAGCCCATCCCCCTCCACTAACTGCAATCCGATTCCCTCGTAGCCCAGCAGCACCCTCCTCAAGTTCCGCGCCTCACTGTCCGCTAACGTAACGCGCTGCTGCGTCATCAAGTCGCAAGTTGCAACATCAGACGTGGAAAAAAAATCCGTATGAAATTTCACACATGCCATGGAATTTCGTCTGGAAAATCAGACCAGCGAAATTTTCCCGTCTAAGCGTCAGACGAAACGATTTTTTTTTTTTTTTTTTTTTTTTTTTTTTCAGACGGGCCAAAATCCTAGCGAGAGCCCGGACAGGCGCGTTATGGCAATATGGGCGTTATGGCAACAGGTGCGTTATTGCAACAGGTGCATTATGGCAACATGTGCGTTATGGCAACATGTGCGTTATGGCAACATGTGCGTTATGGTAACATGTGCGTTATGGTAACAGATGCGTTATAGTACCAGGTGCGTTATGGTGCGTTATGGTAGCAGGTGCGTTATGGTAACATGTGCGTTATGGCAACATGTGCGTTATGGTGGTAATAGATGCCTTATAGTAACATGTGCGTTATGGTAAGAGGTGCGTTATGGCAACATGTGCGTTATGACAATACGTGCTTTATGGCAACGCATGCGTTATGACAACATGTGCGTTATGGCAACATGTGCATTATGGCAACAGGTGCGTTATGGCAACAGGTGCGTGCGCTATGGCAACCAGTGCGTTATCGCAACATGTGCGTTATGGCAACAGGTGCGTTATGGAAACATGTGCGTTATGGCAACATGTGCGTTATGGTAACAGGTGCGTTATGGCAACATGTGCGTTATGGCAACAAGTGCGTTGCGGTAACAGGTGCGTTATGTAACATTTGCTTTATGGAAACATGTGTGTTATGGTAACACGTGGTCCAGGTGACGACTTGGTCCAAGCGCGCAGTTGGTCCATGTGACAACTTGGTCCAAGCGCGCACTTCGTCCAGTTGACGACTTGGTCCAAGCGCGCACTTGGTCCACGTGACGACTTTGTCCAAGCGAGCACTTGGTCCAAGTGACGACTTGGTCCAAGCGCGCACTTGGTCCAAGTGACGACTTGGTCCAAGTGACGACTTGGTCCACGTGAGCACTTGGTCCAAGTGACGACTTGGTCCAAGTAACGGCTTGGTCCAAGTGAGCACTTGGTCCAAGTGACCACTTGGTCCAAGTGACCACTTGGTCCAAGTGACCACTTGGTCCAAGTGACCACTGGGTTCAAGTGACGCCTTGATCCAAGTGAGCACTTGGTCCAAGTAACGACTCTGTCCAAGTGACGACTCAGTCCAAGTGACCACTTGGTCCAAGTGAGCACTTGGTCTAAGTGAAGACTTGGTCCAAGTGAGCACTTGGTCCAAGTGACGACTTGGTCCAAGTGACGACTTGGTCCAAGTGAGCACTTGGTCCACGTGAGCACTTGGTCCAAGTGACGACTTAGTCCAAGTGAGCACTTGGTCCACGTGAGCACTTGGTCCAAGTGAGCACT